TTTTTACCTGTGCCTGGAAGTGAAGTGAACCAGAAAGAAGGCTAAAGACAGGGATTCCCTGTCAGCCTTTCGTTAACTAATGAATCTACAGAAGGACAAGGTAAGTTCATATTAAACAGGTAGCAACTACAACTAACGCAAAGGAAAAAAATTAGCTATGTTGATGAGAGAGATAGTAGGAGCTGCCGATGCTGGAGAATCTGCGATAATAAGGTGTAGAGCTGGATGAACACAGCAGGCCAAGCAGCATCAGAGGAGCAGGAAAGCTGACGTTTCGGGCCTAGACCCTTCTTCAGAAATGGGGGAGGGGAAGGGAATTCTGAAATAAATAGGGAGAGAGGGGGAGGCGGATAGAAGATGGATAAAGGAGAAGATAGGTGGAGAGGAGCCAGACCGGTCAAAGAGGTGGGGCTGGAGCCAGTTAAGGTGAATGTAGGTGGGGAGTTGGAGAGGGGATAGGTTGGTCCAGGGAGGATGGACAGGTCAAGGAGGCGGGATGAGGTTAGTGGGTAGGAGATGGGGTTGGGGCTTGAGGTGGGAGGAATGGTTAGGGAGGTGGGGACGAGTTTTGGGATGTGGTCGGGGGAGGGGAGATTTTGAAGCTTGTGAAGTCCACATTGATACCATTGGGCTGCAGGGTTCCCAAGCGAAATATGAGATACTGTTCCTGCAGCTTTCGGGTGGCATCATTGTGGCACTGCAGGAGGCCCAGGATGGACATGTCGTCCAAGGAGTGGGAGGGGGAGTTGAAATGGTTCGCGACTGGGAGGTGCAGTTGTTTGTTGCGAACCGAGCGTAGGTGTTCCGCAAAGTGGTCCCCAAGCTTCTGCTTGGTTTCCCCGATGTACAGGAGGCCACAACGAGAACAGCAGATACAGTATACCACATTAGCAGATGTGCAGGTGAACATCTGTTTGATGTGGAAGGTCTTCTTAGGGCCTGGGATGTGTGTGAGGGGGGAGGTGTAGGGGCAGGTGTAGCACTTGCTCCGGTTGCAGGGAAAAGTGCTGGGGGTGGTGGGGCTGGAGGGGAGTGTGGAGCGGACAAGGGAGTCATGGAGAGATTGGTTCCTCCGGAAAGCAGATAAGGGTGGGGAGGGAAAAATGTCTTTGGTAGAGGGGTCAGATTGCAGATGGCGGAAGTGTCGGAGGATGATGCGTTGGATTCAGAGGTTGGTGGGGTGATACGTGAGGACAAGGGGGATTCTGTTTTGGTTGTTATTGCGGTGCGGATAGGGGATGAGAGGGATGAGTTGCAGGAAATGCGAGAGACACGGTCGAGGGCATTGTCAACCACTGTGGAGGGGAAGTTGCGGTCCTTGAAAAACGATGACATCTGGAATGTTGATGTATTATGTTGATGTATTACTTCTACCAAAATTTCTAAAATCTTTATAAGTCAAGATTGTAAATTATTATTCTTATTAAATAAATACTTAATGCTACCAGTGAAATATCCCAAATATTTTTGAAGAAATTGTTCAAATGATTATGGAAAACGTATGTCAGGATGCTGTTACTTCTGGTCCCACTCCAAAATCTTAAACCTGTTTTCCTGGATATGTATCCATTCATTATTGAAAGAGTATTGCATTATTGGAGTGTATCTTATAGATGAGATATTAAAATTCCTGTCTGTCCTCTCAAATGGACAGAAACATTCCAAAGCATCAATCAACAGTCACCAGGGAGCTGCCCTGATGTCCATTACAATATCTATCCCTCAGGCAGGACCTAGAATAGATAATCTAGTCACTTATTTCATTACTGTTTCTGGGAATTTGTTATGTGAATATTGGCTGCTATATTTTCTGTATGTTAACAGTGTCTAAATGTACCAAATTGGTTGTAAAGCAGACCTTGTGAGCTTGTGAAAGGGGCTCTAAAATGCAAGACTTTCCAACCCATTTCTGCTGAAGGGTCTAGGCCCAAAATGTCAGCCTTCCTGCTCCTATGATGCTGCTTGGCCTGCTGTGTTCATCCAGCTCTACACCTTGTTATCTCAACCTGTATTGTAATTTTTGTAATGTTCCTTCATAGGGTGGCTCTTATTTCAAAGGCACAGACACCAGAGATTGGTCTGATATTGATATTGTGATGTTTAGCTCTTCATTTATGAGCCTTGATGACTGCAAGGAGAAGATATTGTCTGTCTTAAGTGATCTGGAGTATAATTTGAAATTATCTGTAATGACCAACAGGTAAGACAAAGGAATGTTTATTCCTGAACATTTGTTAACCCTGGCACTTTGGAATACAAATTAAAAATACAGTAATGAAAATGTAAAGCAGATTTGTTACGTTTGTAAAGAAAAAATAAGTCAATGTTGCAGGTAAGGTTGTTCATCAAGTGCCTCAGTTAACCTGCTTTTCTCTTGCTGCTGTTAACTAATACATGTGTTTATCCCTAATATTCTTAATTTTTGAAGGTATTGTGCTGTGCATGATGCTTTCTGCAAACATGTCCCCATTCTGCTGCTACTTGCAGCTGAAAGCCAGATTTGTGAATGACTTCTTAGAAATTAGGCCTAAGATTTGTGAACAGCATCCATAAGACATATTTAGCTCTGTCAAGCCTCAGTTGAGCACTGATACATTGATGTTCCAAATGTAGACTATTAACATTCTAGGTCAGTGTATCAGGTTATTTGATACATATAAAGGTGAGACAGTACCCACTGCATTCAGTTACCAGTGATATTGAAACAGCCCATGCTAGTCTATAGCCTGAAATTCAAAGGAGCCTGACTTCAAGGGTCGCTGTGATTGGGCCATTTTGATGACCTGTTTCGAAGTTTCAAGGAACAGTTTCTCTCTATCCATCTTGTGTACCAAAACGTTTTCTACAGAATAGTATGAAAACCTGACTTTCTAACTGACTTTCTAGCTTCTGAGGCAATCTCTTACAAGCTTCTTCCTGTGTCCTGTCGTTGATGAGGTACACCCTTTCCCTATTCCAACAGCTGCTAACCCGTTAATTAAAAAGTAATTCTGGGTAAATTTCATGAATGAATTGTGGGAAATACTAAGTCACAGCACTATCAGCACATTACAATAAATGGGACACATATATGATCCAATCTATTTGTTGTTTTAGGATATTGATGGAAAAGAAGACCTCACTTTCTCTTCGATTTCAATTCAAATGTTTCAAGGGTCTACATATTCATCACTTTGATGTTATGCTTTGCTATGATTTATTAGGATCCACTCCAACCCAAGGTTTGCACTTTATTTTTCAATAGATTATTCGGATCTCAACACGTAATGCATTTTGCTGTGATAAAAGAGAATATATCTTTGTTCTACATCTGTTTTACTTTAAAAATATTAAGAAAAATGATATATTTTATATTATGCCTTCCATGTTCAGATCTTTTGGGACATATTCCATACTTTGTAGCAAATTAATTTGGAATACACTGCCTGGGAGGATTGTTGAGGCAGGAAACCTCATAACCTTTAAAAAGTACTTGGATTGAAATGGGCCAAGTGCTGGAGGGTGGGACTGCTGTGGATATGGAGCAGTTTTTATCAGTGCAGACTCGATGGGCCAAGGGGCCTTTTCTGTACTGTACAGTGATTCTATGATTTTCTAAACAGTAATACCCAGGTACACTAAAATAGTTTTATAGTACTGTTTGTAACCTATACATGCGGCCATATGATCAAAAGACCAAATTTCTCATCCAACCACAACAGCTGGGGAATTTAAATTCATGATATCAATCTGGAATGTTTAAACAAAAGGTTATTCTCAATAATGATGAATTTTGAAACTACTAGATCATCATGAAATTTGACTGGTTTCTTTAGGGAGAGCAATTGATTATCTATTCTTACCTGTTCATGACTTCAACCCCAGAGCAATGTGTTAACACTTAACTGCCCCACATAATGGCTTGCTGAGCCGTTCAGTTGTACCCATCGACTATGACAAAGAACAATAAGAATAAAATTGGTCAGACCTCATGGCATCAACTTAGGTACCAGCACCACCATTTAGCTCCAGACCTCATTATAATTTTGTCCAAACATGAATCAAAGAGATAAATTCCAGAGGTAATAAGTGACTGCATTTTACAGTTTTCAGCTCCTAGACCTGTCTGAATCCATCCCATTTAGCACAGTGATAATGTTGCAGAACACAGTGGAGCATGTTCCCTCTCTGTAGATGGGGTTTCATGTCCATTACAGACTGTGTACTGATCAGTCTTGTCAATTCTGTCGTGGATGGCTAAATCTATGGCAGACAGACAAATGGAGGGCCAAAGCAATTAAGTGTTTTCCACATGGTTTTGTTCTCATTCCTGGTTGCAGGACCAGTATGGCAATTTATACCTTTGAGGGCTCAGTCAACTCTCTCTGTGGCAGTGCTATTGATGGACATTGAAAAATCCCACCCAGAGTTCATCCTCTGCCTTTCTTACCATTATTACTTTTTCCAAGTCGTGTTTAACATGCAGGAGCACTGATTCTTCAGCTGAAGGTAATCAACAAGAGGTTTCCTTTCCCATGTTTGCCATGAGACTTCAACAGGTCATAGACTCATACAATACAGAAACGGACCCTTCGATCCAACTTGCCCGTGCCAACCAGACATCCCAATCTGACCTTGTCCCATTTGCCAGCATTTGGTCCATATCCCTCAAAACCCATCTTATTCATATACCCATCTGGATGCCTTTTCAATGTTGTAATTGTGCCCATGTCCACTACTTCCTCTCGCAGCTCATTCCATACATGCACCACCATCTATTTTGGTGTCATCTGCAAACTTACTTACCATGCCTCTGATATTTACATCCAAATCATCTATATGCATGACAAAAAGCAGTGGACGTAGTACCCATCCTGCAGCATGCCACCGGTCACAGGTCTCCAATCTGAAAAACAACCCACTACCACCACCCTCTGTCTCCTACCTCCAAACCAATTTTGTATCCAATTAGCTAGCTGTCCCTGGATCCCATGTGATCTAACCTTACTAACCAGTCTACCATGCGGAACCTTATCAAACACTTTGCTGAAGTCCATTTAGACAACGTTCATCGCTCTGTTTTCATCTATCTTCTTTGTCACCTCTTCAATAAACCCAATCAAGTTATTGAGACATGATTTCTCACACACAAAGCCATGTTAACTATCCCGAATCAGTCCTTGCCTTTCCAAATGCATGTAAATCTTGTCCCTCAGAAACCCCTCCAACAACGTGCCCACCATTGATGTAAGGCCCACGGTCTATAGTTCCTTGACTTTTCATTGCAGCCTTTCTTACATAGTGGCACCACATTAGCTAGCTTCCAGTCTCAGCAAGGGGCTCAGCAATGTCTTCCTTAGCTTCCCACAAAGTTCTGGGGAACACTTGATCAGGTCCCGTGGATTTATCAACCTTTATACATTTTAAGACCTCCAGCACCTCCTCTTCTGTAATATTAACTCTTTTCAAAACATCTTTATTTCCCCAATTACCCTAGCTTCCTTCTCCACTGTAAGTACTGATGTGAAATATTCATTTACCATCTCACCCATTCCCTGTGCTTTCACACATAGATGGACTCATTGATCTTTAAGGGACCCTCTCCTTTCCCTAGTTACTCTTTTGCTTTTAATGCACTTATAGAATCTTTTTGGATTCTCCTTAACTCTATTTGCCAACGCAATCCTTTTGCCTTCCTGATTTCTCTGTTGAGGATACCTTTACTGCCCTTATAATCCTATCGGGATTCACTTGATCCCAGCTGTCTATACCTGATATATGCCTTCTTCTTTTTCTTGACCAGAACCTCAATTTCTCGAGCCATCCAGCATTCCCTACATCTACCAACCTTGTCCTTCGCACTAACAGGAACATACTGTCACTGAACTCTCGTTATCTCGTCTTTAAAGACCTCCCACTTTCCAACCATCCCTTTACCAACGAATGGCCTCCCCAATCAACTTTTGAAAGTTCCTGTCTAATACTGTCAAAATTGGCCTTCCTCCAATTTAGAACTTTAACTTTTTGATTAGTTCTATCCTTTTCCATAACTATTTTGAAACTGGTTGAATTATGCTCATTTGCCCCAAAGTGTTTTCCCACAGACACCTCCATAACTTGCCCAGCCTTATTTTCCAACAGAAGGTCAAGTTTTGCTCCTTCTCCTGCAGGTATATCCACATAATAAGTAAGAAAGTTTTCTTGTACACATTTAACAAATTCTTCCCCATCCAAGCCCTTAACACTATGACAGTTCCAGTCTGTGTTTGGAAAGTTATAATCCCCTACCATTACAACTCTATTATTCTTGCAGATATCTGAGATCTCCTTGCATATTTGCTTCTCAATTTCCCTCTGACTGTTGGCGGGCCTATAATTTAATCCCAACAAGGTGATCATCCCTTGCTTATTTCTCAGTTCCACCCATAAAGCTTCACTGGTTGATCTCCCAGGAATATCCTCTCCCTAGGTACAGTTGTAATGTTATCCTTAACCAAAAATACCACCCCTCCTCCTCTCTTGCCTCCGTTTCTAACCTTCCCATAGCATCGATACCCTGGAACATTAAGCTGCCAGTCCTGTCCATCCATGAATCACGTTTCTGTAATAGCTATGATACCCTAGTGCCATGTTCCCAACCATTCCCCAAGTTCTTCTGCCTTGCCTCTCAGGCCTCTTGCATTGAAGTAAATGCAGTTTAATTTATCAGTCTTACCTTGTTCTTTGCTAAGGTCTCATCTGCTTTGACTATTTGACTTGCTCCTCTTACCAACTGTACCAATCTCAGCCTTTTCTCATTTTTCACTATTGCTTTGCTTCCCACCCCACCCCTTACCAGTTTAAAGTCTCCTGAGTAACACTAACAAATCTTCTTGCAAGGATATTAGTCTCCTTCCAATTCAGGTAGAATCTGTCCCTCTTATACAGGTCATTTCTACCCCTGAATAGATCCCAATTGTCCAAAAATGTGAATCCTTGCCCCCGGACCAGCTCCTCAGCTACTCATTCATCTGTCCTATCCTCCAATTCCTACCCTTAACTGCATGTGGCATCAGTAGTAGTCCAGATGGTATTACCCTTGAGGACCTACTTTTTAACGTCCAAAACCAAGTTTTCTATATCCTCTCCACAGAAGCCTTAACCCTTTCCACTACCTATGTCGAGGTCTGGAAACAATAATGAGGATTCTCAGGGTAGCTCCCTTCCAACTGTAAATCAGTATGCCACCATCTCTGGTGGGACTGTCCTGCTGATGGGGCAGGACATACCCAGTAATGGTGATGGTGGAGCCTGGGCCACTGGTTGAAAAGAGTGTTTCTGTGTTTCAGTATCAATGTCAGCTTGACCAGTATGTGATATAGTTCCTCCAGTTTTAACACAGATCCCCAGTATCATGAGGAAGACTTTCATGTTAACTGGTCAGAGTGTGCTCTTGTTAGGTCTAATACTATGGCCACCATTTGGTTTTAGTCCAGGTGGACTATTCTAGCAATTGAGTACAAATCAGTCATTTCAAAGGGCAATTGAGAATCAACCAACAGGTAAAGATGGCAAATTAATATTAGTAAACCAGATAATTTTTTACAACCAATATTGTATCATCCAGTATTTTTCAGGAACAACCCATTTAGCCCACCAAGTCTGCTCTGCTGTTCAACATGATCATGGCTGATCATTCACTTCAATGTCTTTTCCCCGACTAGACCCACATCCCTTTACGGCATTGATATTTAGAAAATTGTCAATCTCTACCTTATACATATTCAACGACTGAGCTTCGTCAGTGCCATTAAAAGAGAGTTCCAGAATTTTGACCTCAGTGATAAGGTTCCAAGACAGGATAATGTATGTTTTGGAAGGGAATTTATAGGTAGCGGCGTTCTCTTACATCTGCTGCTCTTGTCCATCCGGGTGGTAGAGTGTGTGGGTCTGGAACATGCTTTCAAAGGAGGCTTGATGAGTTGAGGCAATGCATCTTGTAAATGGTACACACTGCTGACAATGTGACTTAGTGGTAGGGTGGGTGAATATTGAAAGTGGTGCACAAGGTACCAATCAAACAGGCTGCTTTGTCTTGGATAGTGTCAAATTTCTTGAGTGTTATTGGAGATGCACTCAACCAAGCAAGTGCAATATTTCAGATTCATTTAATGAATTTAAATTCCCCAGCTGCCACAGTGGGGGTTGAACTCATATCTTTGGATATTTAATGCAGGTCCTAGAATTACAATTCCAGCAATATATCCACTGTTTTATTCATGCCACACAAATGCCAAGAAATGATCATCTCCAACAGAAGAGAATCTAACCATTATAAGACCAGAAGTGGATATTTTCATCGATCATTGCACAATGTTCAGCACCATTTGTGACTCCACAGATACTGAAGCAGTCTGTGTTCAAATGTAACAAGATCTGGACAATATCCAGGCTTGGGCTGACAAGTGGCAAATAACATTTGCACCACAAAAATGACAAACAAACACCATTTTGAATGGGAGATAATCTAACCACTGACCCTTGACATTCAATGGCACTACCATCAATGAATCCCCACTAGCCAGATCCTGGAGGTATACATTGACCAGAAATTGAACTGGACTCATCATATAAATAGATTGGCCAGAAGAGTAGGCCAAAGGCTAGGAATACTGCAGCAAGTAACTCACCTACTGACTCCCCAAAGCCTGTTCATGATCTACAGGGAACAAATCAGGATTGTGATGGAATACTCCACACTTCCCAGGATGAGTACAGCCCCAACACCATTCAAGAAGCTTTACACCGTTCAGGAGAAAACAGTCCACTGGTTTGAAATTACGTCCATAAACATTCAGTCACTCTACCACAGAATCTCAATAACAGCAGCATGAACAATCTACTTTCAATCATGGCTGATATGTTTCTCAACCCATTCTCATGCCTTCTTCCCATTAACCTTGATTCTCTTACTAATCAAGAACCTTTCTATCTCTGCTTTAAATAAATTCAATGACTTGGCCTCCACAGCCTTGTGTGGCAATGAGTTCCATAGATTTACCACCCTCTGTCTGAAGAAATCCATGCTTATCTCAGTTCTAAAAATTTGTCCTTCACTCTGAGGCTGTGCCTTCAGATCCTAGTCTCTCCTACATGTTCTTCATGTCCACTCTATCCAGGCCTATCAGGATTCTGTAAATTGCAATAAGACTCCCCCTCATCCCTCTAAAATCCATTGAGTACAGACCAAGAGTCCTCAATGGCTCCTCATATGACAAGTCCTTCATCCACCAGGATATTCTTGTAAACCTCATCTGGAGGCCTTCTAAGTCTAGCACACCCTTTTTTTATATACAGGGCACAAAACTGCTCACAATGTTGCAAACAAGGTCTAATCAGAGCCTTATACAGCCTCAGCGTAACATCCCTGCTGTTGTATTCTTGCCCTCTCAAAATGAACGAAAATGTTGCATTTGCCTTCCTAACTACCAACTGAGCCTTCATGTTAACCTTAAGAGAATCTGAGTAGGGCTACTAAGTCCCTTTGTGCTTCAGATTTCAGAAGCCTTTCCCCACTTATAAAACAGTCTATGCTTCTAATCTTCCTACCAAAATGCATAACCTCACACTTAGCCACAATTAGTTCCATTAGTCACTTCATTGCCCACTCTCCTAGCCTGTCCAAGTCCTTCTGCAGCCTCCCCGTCTCCTCAGAACTACCTATCCCTCCACCTATCTTTGTGTCATCTGCAAACTTAGCAACAATGTCCTTAGTTCCTTTGTTCAAATTGTTAATGTGTAATTTGAATAGTTGTGGTCTGAAAATTGATGGTATTCACTAGTCACCAGCTGCCATCCTGAAAAAGTCCTCTTTATCCCGACTCTCTGCCAGTCAGCCAAACCTTTATCCATGCCAGTACCTTGCCTCTAATGTCATGGGCTGTGATCTTACTTAGCCACCTGTGTGGCACCTTGTCAAAGGCCTTCTGGAAATCCAAATGGATCATGCCCACTAGATCTCCTTTATCTAACTTGCTTGTCATCTTCTGAAAGAAGTCTAACAGGTTTGTGAGGAATGACCTCCCCTTAGCGAAGCCATGTTGACTCAGCACTATTTTACCTGCACTTCCAAGTACTCCAAAATCTCATCCTTAATAATAGACTCTAAAATGGACCAATAACAGAGATCAGGCCAACCAGTCTATAATTTCCATCACCTGCCTCCCTCCTTTCTTAAACAAGGGTATTATGTTAACCATTTTCCTATCCTCTGGCTCCCTCCTTAACTTCTGTGATTCTTGAAAGATCACCATGAATGTCTACATAATCTCCTTAGCTATCTCTTTCAGAACTCTGGGGCGTAACCTGTCTGGTCTGGGTAATTTATTTATCTTCAGCTTCCCCTGCATCTTCTCCACTACATTCACCTCTGCCCCCTGACTTTATTGACGTTCTGGTGTGCTACTGGCATCTTCCACAGTGATTTGGAAATGTATAGCTATTTCTTCAGTGTTGCTGAGTCAAAATCCTGGAATTCCCTCCCTAACAGCATTGTGGTTCTACCTACAGTGCGTGGACTACAGTGGTCCAAGAAGGCAGCTCACTACCATCCTCTCAAGGGCAGTAAGATGATAATAAGACTGATCCAGCCAGTCTCATCCACATTCCATGATCAAATTTTTAAAAGCTGTATTTGGAAGAGTGCAATCATTATGGTTAAAAATGCTGGGGTTTCTCATAGTGTTCTGTCCAGCACATTTTTCACAAGCAGCAGTCCGACCATAGATTAACTGTTTATTTCCCAGCTGTCTGTAGGATGTGTACAAAATTGTGGCTCAGTTTGTCTTGTTCATAACAAATGCTGCATAAAAATGTGAATCATTGCACAGCTCTTTGCAATGATTCCAATTGTCGGAGAGCACTATATAACTGCAATTGTTACTTTTGTGGTTTGATTCTTATTATTCTTTAAATGGGATTTATTCATTTTTTGTTTTACAGATGTTAAAAGGAACTTATATCGACAATTGTTCAATTGTGGGGATGATGTAAAAATCCAGCTTTATTCAATCTCCTTGTTGCAGTATCAGGTGGATTTTGTGAAGGCATCTACTGTTGGTGTAAAGGATCTGATTCGTCTGGTTAAACATTGGTTTAGAACCTCATTCGCTAAGCGTACTGAAGCCAATAGGTTTGCATGTATTTATACTAGATCATTTAAAACATTGATGCAATGTGATTATTTATTTGTAGAAAATTTATTTAATTTGGAAGACTGTCCCATTTAAAAAGATATAATAGTAATTGCATATCATGTGAATGCTGAATGTGCTAAATCAAACTCTCTCTATGGCGTACTAGTAAGGAATTAACCTGCAGTTTTTTATTTGACCATTATTTTAAAGAACTTACATTTGTATACAACTGTTGCGATGATTGAATCTGTCACTTCAATACTTTGGTCAGCTAATGCAAGCTTTACTTTAGAAGCACAAGCTGGGAGATGGCACATGCTATTGACAAACTCTACCAAGATTTCTCTCTGATGCAGAGTCAGCATGACAATGTACAATGTTTTTACAGTTTACTTATCACCTTAGCACTTATATCACATATCCTTCCCAAAAACCAGAGCTATGCATAGCAGAGCTATTGGTATCCCTTTCATGTTCTCATTAGCCCTTTGAAGCATTGTTATCACTTTTGGTCTGGCATCCCCCTCCTGTCTGTGCCCTTATCACTGTAAAGGTTTGTGAATGTTAAGACTTATGGCGTACATTCTTAGACAGAATATAGTATTGCTTACATTTTCCACTATGCTTAAGGGAAGTGCTTATGGCTACATTTGTCTGTTCTGAGGCTATCATGCTCTTAAATATCAACATTAATCACAACAGTAACAATCTGCATTTCTATAGCATCATTTACATAGAACAGCATCCTAATGCTCTTCAAGGGAACATTTTCAACCAACATTTGATACTGAGCTACAAGCATATATTGGAGCAGATGACTAAAAGTTTGGTTAACAAAGTCAATTCTAAGGAGTGGCTTGATGGACAAAAAAAAGGGAAGAGAGATGGAAAGGTTAGAGATGGAATTCCAGTGTTTGGGGCCTTGACTATTGAATGCATGGCTGTCAATGGTACAGCCATTAAAACTGGATATCAAGAGGTCAGAATTAGAGGAGTACAGATATACAGAGTTCGACAATATTACAGTATGGAAACAAATGATAATAGGAATAGGCAATGTTAATATGTACATCTGTATAACATACAGTACCTTTTACAATCTCAAATATCCTAACAGCTTCATAACCTTTGAAACACTTTTGAAGGAAAAATCAAAGAACTGTGGATGCTGGAAATCAGAAACAAAATCAGAAATTGCTGGGAAAACTCAGCTGGTCTAGCAGCATCTGTGGAGAGAAAGCAGAGTTAATGTTTCACGTCCAGTGACCCTTCTTCTGGACTGATTGTAGCTAGGAAAAGGTTGGTATATATGCTGAAGATAGGGTGGGGTGTGCGCTGGGAAGGAGTAAATGATAAGTGGAGATGGAGCCCAGAGAAAGAGAACAACAGTGGAACAGACAAAGGAATTGGTTAAAGGTCAGCCTGGGAGAATGAATAGCCGCTAAGGGGGACCATCAGTAGCTGACAATGGGATGGTTGTGGTGGCAGCCCATGTGATGACAAGGCCTGGTGTGTAGGGGTTGGGGTAAGGACATGGGAGAAGGTGCTCAGGCCCTAAAATTATTGAACTTGATATTAAGTCCAGAAAGCTGCAGATTCTCCAAGTGGAAAATGAGGTGCTGTTCTTCCAACTTGCGCCTAGCTTTGCTGGTGCACTGCAGCAAGCCTGAGACAGAGATGTTGCCCAGGGAACAGGGTTGTGTGTTGATAAGACAGGCAATTGGAACCTCAAGATCATTTTTGCAGACAGAACTCAGGTGTTCTACAAAGCGATCATCCAGTCTGTGTTTCTTCTCCCCAGTGTAGAGGAGACCTTATTGTGAGCCATAAATCCAGTAAACTAGATTGAGTGGATTGAGTGGAGTGCAGGTAAATCACTGTGTGTGCCCTTATCACTGTAAAGATTTGCGAATTTTAAGACTTATTGCTTATATTCTTAGACAGAATATGTAGGTTTAGCTGCTGAATAAGATAACTTCTGTTTTCCAAATATTGAGGTGAAGAAAATCCTGATTGTTCAACACATGATGTCAAATAACACTAACTATTGTGGGACTAGAGGCAGCGATCCAGAAGTAGTGCTTGATGTCATCAGGTTACATTTCAAATCTAGCCCTGTATCTGTGGTTAAAGTTAACAGTGGTGGCATATAAATGTGGAAAAGGCACATCCTAAGAATGGAAGCTTGGAATATTTTGGAAATTGCTGTGCAAGGTTGAGAGAAAAAGCCATTGCTAGAGACATGCAAGGTTTATTTTGGAACAGGTAGGAGTGGAACCAGTTGAATTCGGCTCCCTCTCCCTCCACCAATGTAGATCATAAATGAGAAATTCTGAAGTAGAATGGAGTTGTCAGCCATGTTGTACTTTGTGGAGAAGATTAAGAAGACTGTATGGGAAAGCAAACATTGATTGTAACTACAAAGGATATTGTCGGTGACTTTGTTTGAAGCTAGCTTAGCACATATTTCTCGTTATAGGATGTTTCTCCAGATTATATTCCAGGTAATCAATCTGAAATTCGTATTACTGATCTTAAAATGCTGAGGAAGGGTCACCGGACCCAAAACGTTAATTCTGCTTTTTCCTTCACAGATGCTGCCAGACCTGCTGAGCTTTTCCAGCAACTTTGTTTTTGTTCCCGATTTACCGCATTCGCAGTTCTTTTGGTTTTAAAATGCTGATGTAGTTTTTGACTATAAAGTAAAGACTTTCTCATCCTGACGTTGATTCAGTAATGGCTACTTCACCAATATAATCTTTTATAGATTCCGAAGGCTTCCTTCCTCCTACACCATGGAACTTATCACCATCCATGTCTGGCAGTTGGCAGGAAAACCCATATTTTTCAGCTTTATCCAGGGCCTCAGAGCAGTGCTCAAGTTCCTGGTAAATTGCACCGGTATTTTCATCATCTGGTATGATCACTATGATAAAAACTTTCATGTTGTGAAGAAAGCACTTCAGAAACAAAGCAGGTAAATAAATAAGAATATGTTAACAAAATCAAAGTATGAATTAGTGTCGATACAGTGCAGAGCTGGAGGAACACAGCAGGTTAGGCAGCAACAGAGGAGTAGGAGAGTCAATGTTTCGGGCCTAGGCCTTTCATCAGGCCTGATGAAGGGTCTAGGCCCGAAACGTTGACTCTCCTGCTGTGTTCCTCAAGCTCCACACTGCATTGACTCTGACTCCAGCATCTGGAGCTCTTGCTATCTCAAAGTATGAATTACACTGGTTTGAATTTAGATTCTTGTTATATAGTTCTGGTTACTGTTTTAGATGACTGTTTAACAAGTCTGTCCACGAGGCCTTAAAGCTATAAACATTGTCTGATATGACAATGAGCCACTAAGACCAGAAATAATTTGAGGAAGTATGAGGTTATGCAATTTGGCAGGAAGATTAGAAGAGCTGCATATTATTTAAATGGAGAAAGACTGCAGAAAGCTACAAAGCAGAGGGAGTTGTGAGTTCTCATCCATGAATCACAAGTTTAGAATCCAAGTTCAGCGGGTAACAGGGAAGACAAATGGAATGTTGGCCTTTATTTTGAACATTATTGAGTAAAAAGTAAGGAAGTTTTGTCAAAATTATACAAGTCACAATGCAGACCACAGCTGGAATACTGCAAATGGTTTTGGGCTCCTTATCTAAGGAAATATATTGGAGGCAGTCCAGAGAAGGTTCTCTTAGCAGATACTGGGTATGGAGGAGAGATTCAATACATTGGGCCTGTCCACTGGAATATAGAAGAATAAGAGGTGATCTTGTTGAAACATACAAGGGGACTTGAAAGGATTGATACAAAAAGGCTTTTTCTCCTTGTGGGAGAGTCTAGGACCAGAGCGCATAATCACAGAATGTAAGGTCACACATTTAAGACAGTGATGAGGGCAGTGAATCTGTGGCGTTCTTCACCGCAGAAGGTTGTTGAAATTGAGTCATTATGTAGATTCAAGGCTGAGATCGATGGATTATTAATCAGTAATGGAATCAAATATTTTGGGTAAAGGCAGAAAAGTGGAGTTGAAGATTATCAGATCAGCCATGATATCATTGAATGGCAGAGCAGACCTGATGAACTGAGTGGCCTACTTCTGCTCCTGGAGTTTAGAAGAGTAAAGCGTGACTTAATTGAAGTCTATAAGATCCTTAATGGTCATGACAATGTGGAGATTTCCTTTTATGGGTCAGCCCAGAACTCAAGGCCACTGTTTTAAAATGATAAGGAGAATGTTTTCCTCTCAGCGGGTTGTGCGAATTTGGAACTCTCTGGGTTGGAAGGCGATAGAGGCGGGCTCATTGAATGTTTTTAAGACAGAGGTGGATAGACTCTTGTCTGGCAGGGAATCATGGCCATCGAGGGTATAAAGGGAAAAATAAACAAGTCAGCCTTTATAGTCTTATTGAAAGCACAGCAGGCTCAAGGGGCTGAATGGTCAACACTGCTCCTAATTTTTTTGTTTTTCTAATCAAGCTGATCAGAGATGTTTTTACACACCTCTGGAGCAGGAGGGACTTGAAGCTGGGCTTCCTGGTCCAGAGGTAGGGACATTACCACTGAGCCACAAAAGCACCATTTCAACACTGCTCCTAATTTATATATTTGTAATGCGGTAATTGTGCTTTGCTTCAAGTAATATATTAAGTGTGTAAATGTGATGAGCAACAATATTGTGAAGGATGAATTCCTACAATATGGTCAAGCTCATTTCTGGAGCAGTTTGTTGAAGAACTAACTAGAGAACAGGCTACTTTAAATCTAGTGCTATGCAAGAGGTTTAAGGGCTCACCAATGCTGTTTTCTTAAATAACTTTTAGGGAAGAGTGGTCATAACATGAGCAAAGAATAAAGAACAAAGAAAATTACAGCACAGGAACAGGCCCTTCGGCCTTCCAAGCCTGCACCGACATGCTGTCCATCACAACTAAAATCCCCTACCCATCTGGGGACCATATCCCTCTATTCCCATCCTATTCATGTATTTGTCAAGACGCCCTTTAAAAGTCACTATCGTATCTGCTTCCACTACCTCCCCCAGCAGCGAGTTCCGGGCACCCACCACTCTCTGTGTAAAAAACCTGCCTTGTACATCACCTTTAAACCTACCCCCTCGCACCTTAAACCCATGGCCCCTAATAACTGACTCTTCCACCCTGGGAAAAAGCTTCTGACTGTCCACTCTGTTCATGCCCTTCGTAATCTTGTAGACCTCTATCAGGTCACCCCTCAACCTCTGTCATTCCAGTGAGAACCCCTCCTCATAGCTAATGCCCTCCATACCAGGCAACATCCTGGTAAATTTTTTCTGTACCCTCTTCTGTACCCATTCTTCTGGTAGAGTGGCGACCAGAATTGAACCCAATGTTCCAAACGCAGCCTAACTGAGGTTCTACAAAGCTGCAACATTACCTGCCAATTTTTAAACTCAATGCCCCGGCCAATGAAGGCAAGCATGCTGTATGGCTTGTTGACTACCTTTTCCACCTGCGTTGCCTGTGTACATGTACACCCAGATCCCTCTGCCTATCAGTACTCTTAAGGGTTCTGCCATTTACTGTATATTTTCCATCTGGATGAGACCTTCCAAAATACATTACCTCACATTTTGCCAGATTAAACTCCATCTGCCATTTCTCTGCCCAAGTCACCAACCAATCTATATCCAGCTGTATCCTTTGATGGTCCTCATCGCTATCTGCAATTCCACCAACCTTTGTGTTATCGGCAAACTTACTAATCAGACCAGTTACATTTTCCTCCAAATCATTTATATATATTAGAAATAGCAAAGGTCCAAACACTGATCCCCGAGGAATGCCACTAGTCAAGCCCTCCATTCAGAAATGCACCCTTCCACTGCTACCCTCTGTCGACTATGACCGAGCCAGATTTTTATTCATCTTACAAAAGTCAAGTTTTGCATTGGATGTTGTTTGAGGTTTTGAAGACCGGAGTTTTTAAAAGGAATGGATACCCAAAAAGCACAATCCGCTGTTACCTCTGAGACAGATCACAACAAGAGGACACAACATGGCCAGACACACTAGTCACCCTACTGTACATCAAGGACATATCAGAGATGACCACAAGACCACACAGACTGCTAGGTATCAGGGTAATCCACAAACCAACAACCACCCTGCGACAGCTGCTGACGAACATAAAAGACCCCATATCCAGAACGAATAAAATTAATCTAATATACAAAATACCATGCAAGGACTGTGAGAAACGTTACTTGGCTAAACTGGAAGAAAACTGACAATAAGGATACACAAATACCAACTAGCCACCAAGAAACATGACTAATTCTCACTGGTCTCAGTACACACGGGCAAAGAAGGACACGAATTTGACTGGGACAACAAATCCACAATAGCACACACCAAACAGAGACATGCCAGGGAATACCTGGAGCCTTGGCATTCCAACCGAAACTCCATTAACAAACACATTGAACTGGATCCGATCTACAAATCACTGAAAAACAAAGCCGGAAGTAATACCAACCACCCCAGCAAACCGAGGCATGTAAATAACAAGTGGGACAGAATACGAACGCTTCACTGGAGGCGCACTCTAGCAGGGTGACGAAACGTCTGCAATCAAACACACCAGCTCGGCGTGCAAGGGCCATGCGTCTTTGGAAATATCTACTCCAGAAGAATCTGGAAGCTCAGTCACTGAGTATGTTCCAGAGACTGATACATTTTTAGATACTAATAACATCAGGGAATGTGGGGATATAAGGGGAAGTGTTGAAGTACATAGTGATCTAGAATGTTGGAGCAAGCTTAAGGGACTGAGTTCCTATGTGTCAAGTTTGCTACACTATGGATTTTAGTGCCTATAATTTAACATTTGAAATTATTAAATGACTGTAAATGGTAATATTGTTTGTTTTCAATTCCAGACCTTTTGTTTTGGATCCAGCAAATCCCACTTTGAATGTCTGTGAAAATAGCAATGCTTGGGATGAAGTAACTCATGTGGCCCGTCAAAGTCTTCTGAAGCCACTTCTCAGTGGTGTACAGGCAAAGGTTCCATGGCTCTTCACCAATAATTGGTGATATTTGTTTAAAATGAATGAATAAAGTGTGATATTTAAGCAAAATTATGTGTAAACTGAAATAATAAAGTATTTAACTTTACTGTCATGTTTGTGTATAAGTAAATTAGAAGGGATCTTAGCTCCTGCCTTAGAAAATAGGATTGCATTTTAGCTGCAGATATTTTAGCCTAGTAAATTATCGAGATCTGATAAATTGTGTCAAAAAAAGATGAGAACCAGAAAATGTCTTTGATTACATTATGATGTGTGCAAACAAATAATGTAATGCGATTTGTCCCTTATGATACAGAAATTCATAACATTCCTTTATTTTCATTGAGCAAGGCATGAGTAACTGGAACTTTAAGTTCAAAAGTTGAAGGTACAACATTTCTGTCCTAATAAATATTGAGTGTATATATTAAAAATGAAGCATTCTGGTTAAACATATAAATCTTTGAATTAAGGTCGGGATGGATATTCAGCCCCTCAAGTTTGCTCTGCATTTGATAAGGTCATGACTCCACTCTCCCCATATAGGGCAGAATCTCAGGATAAGTGTCCAATCATTTCGGACAAAGGTGAGGAGAGTGAAGATGTACCTCCTCACAATTCTAAGCAGAAAGCACTGTTCTTAGATTATGGTCCAAATTGCAGACATGTATATGCTTTTCCCTTTCAAGAATGCACAAGAACAGCTGTTAAAAGTCTAGACTGTGTGTGCTGTGAATGAAGGTATATATTATGAGGATCCTTGTTATCTCTGTGCAGCAAGTAAAAAGAATGGAATTCTCCCTTTCACTTCCTTTGTTCAAACCAGAAGGCAATTGAAAGGACACAGGACAAGAGCTTTTCAGCTGACCTACAAAGGCAAGTTTCTCAAAATCAAATGTTCACTTACAAACCTGTACAACATAACAGCCACAACATTCCACTGTTTATTCTTCATAAACAATCCTGGGACATTTATCTTTTAACTTTGTATATTTTTTGAACTCACCTCTTGTTTATAATTTGTGTGTAGTGTGTTTTGTAATTAATTCTTCTTACATCTAGTAGTTAAACTTATTCTTTCGTTTAATAAAAATGAAATTAAAAAAAAATTGTGTTAATGATCTAAGGGTCACTCGACCCAAAATGTTATCTCTAATTTCTCTCCACAGCTGCTGCCAGACCTGCTATGCTTTTCCAGCAATTTCTGTTTTTGTTAAAAAATTAATTTGGTCTTGAAGAAAAGCATTCACAAGAAATGGATCGTTTTAAAATTAAACTTGTGCCAAAGCGAGGGAGGGAGGGTGGTGGGGGTGGGGGTTTGAAGAAAGAGGGAATCCAATTTATCTCACTTCACCCAGGAGCCTGACAATTTGCTATATCCTGTCTGAAACCATAATAGCCTGGGGAAATGTGCCCAGGGAACTAGACATAAAAATTGCACTCACTGTCGTGATGCAGGAAATGTTGCAGACAATTTTCAAACAGTCCACATTCACCTTTAGCAATGTGATAGTGATCAGATCATTGACTTTTTATTGATGTGGCTTGAGAAATAAATATTGGCCTGGATATTGGGAAAACTCCCCAATACTACATTGAAATAGAGCCATGGAATTTTTTTACTCCTAATCAAGAGATATAATATCCCATTCAAAAGACATTGTCACCAACGGTGAAGCATCCCTTCAGTCCTACAGTGGAATGTAAGCATAGGTGTTTAATGTTAATTGAAATATAACAACTTGAAGACAGAGAGTGCCACAAACTGAATCACAGCTGCCTGATAACTTGTTCAGGCTCATAATGGCGAGTTGAAGAGTTCGATAATGTTTACAGAGACCAGTTTTTCTTGTACATTTAATGTTACTGTGAATAGAACAGTTCTTACAACATCTGAGGATCTATACATTGTTCTTTCCATTTCTATCATTAAGCAATGTTTCTCATATCAAAAATTAAATATTTACCCAAACTATGGTAAACGCAGATCCGAATTCACCCATTTAACATGACAGGTTGAGGATAGCTTCTCTTTCTCTCACTCAGTGTTTTTGTAGCAGCAACATGAAGCTGTCTATCCAAAACAGCTTAGCTCTGAAATGGTAGGCTGCCCCCATATGATATTTCAGTCATTTAGTACTTTATTCTGTAGTCAGAAGCATGTTTGTGCATAATTAATACTGATGTGATTGATCTTTGTTCCACAGCATCTTCTTCTGCAGGCGGAGAAGGTGTAACAACTACCCGTTTACCTCCTCCCTCCTCACTATCCAAGGCCCCTGACACAATTCACAGGTGAAGCAGTGATTTACCTGCACTTCATTCAATCTAGTCTTCACTGTGTATTCGCTGCTCACAATATGGTTTCCTCTACATTGGGGAAACAAAACACAGACTGGGTGACTGTCTTGCAGAACGCCAACATTCACTCCACAAAAATGACCTTGAGCTTCCAGTTGCCTGCCACTTCAACATACCGCTGTGTTCCCAAATCAACATTTCTGTCTCAGACCCACTGCAATGCTCCAGCAAAGCTCAGTGCAAGCTTGAATAACAACATTGCATTTTCTGCTTGGAGACTCTGCAGCCTCAGGACTCACGAATTCAATGATTTGAGAGCCTGATTTCACCCTTCTATTTTTTTTACCCACTGCACACCCGGTCCTGTTATGACATGGGTTGCTTTTAGCACAATCTCCCGTTCTCACTTACCCTTAGACCTATTATCACATTATTTGGGTTGCTTTCAGTACTGCTTACCCATTCTCTCCTAGTCTTAGTTCTTATCACTTATTCAAATTTCCTTCTGTCCTGAGATGCTATTATTAAGCACCTGGCCCCAGTGGCCTAGAGGATAAGGCACTGCCCTCTTAAGGCAGGGATTGTGGGTTCAAGTCCTTTCTGGGGTGTGTTGAATTCTGTCCTGAAGCACTGCTTGTTCTTTGGGGAGGTGATCGTCTAGTGGTATTATTGCTGCACTGTTAATCCAAAGATCCAGGTAATGTTCAGGTGAGCTGGGTTTGAATCCTGGTGGAATTTTATGTTAAAAAAAGGGGTGGCATGGTGGTTGCTGCCTCACAGCGCCAGGGACCCAGGTTCGATTCCAGCCTCGGGCGACTGTCTGTATGGAGTTTGCGCATCCTCCCCATGCCTGCATGGGTTTCCTCCGGGTGCTCCGGTTTCCTCCCTCGGTCCAAAGATGTGCAGGGTAGGTGGATTGGCTATATTAAATTGTCCGTAGTGCCCAGGGATGTTTACGTGAGATCGTTTAGACATGGGAAATGCAGAGATAGGGGAATGGGTCTGGGTGGGATGGTCCTTGGAGGGGCGATGTGGACTTGTTAGGCCGAATGGCCTGTTTCCACACTGTAAGGGTACTATGACTTCCTTGCTTTTGTACATCCTTCAATTCTCTCTGTCTTTCTGTGCTCCATTTACACCTATCCACTCACCTGTCCCCTTCACCACCCCTCCCCCACCTCATCTTCTGATGAAGAATTGCTGAATTTGAAATGTTAACTCTGCTTTCTTCCCACAGATGCCACCAGACCTGCTAAGTTTCACCAGCGATTTATGTTTTTGGTTCAAATTATTGTTGTGAAGTGTGTCTCTTCCTTGTAGGTTGCCTTTGATGTCTTTGCTAGGTGCATTTTTTGTCATTTTAGTGCTGGAAGTAAAAATAGAGTTGAAGTTCAGAGCTTTTCCCATAAGCAATTGAAATCAAACATTTAAGGTTTCTAGTCATTCAACTTAGCTTCACTGAACCCATAAGATGTACTACATTTAAAGCTTGGCCATTATTCAACTGAAGGTTATCAAAACCAATTTAATTCCAAACCGAGAGCTTGAACAGGAATTTCACATAAAAGTTGCTCAGTAAATGTGATATTGTCTGAAATTGCCATCTTGAAATCTGTGTTAATGACACATTTTACATGTCACTCACTTGGCCACCCAAATATTTAGCAGCTTGGCTGCTTTGCTAAAATTCCAAGTCCTATTTTTAATCCTCCAAACCAAACGTCTGCCAGAAGCCTGCCATTTCTAGAAGATTACATTTAAAATATTATAATGATTTAAAATATGGGCTGCTGGAAAATACAAGTTATGAGCCTCTGCCACTGCTGTGATCAGCACTTTGAAAGATGATGATGGGAATCATTGTAGTCATAGCTGTGACCTGGCAAGCTGGTTATGAATGATCTTGCTGGTTCTTGTTGATCTTTGCTGAGTGATAAAATGCAACTGTAAAGAGTACAGTTGTGTATGGTTCTGCCCAAGCAATCGTGTTAAGGTGAATGTGAGATAAGGTGTACAGCTGGATGAACAAAGCAGGCCAAGCAGCATCAGAGGAGCAGGAAACATCAGCTTTCCTGCTCCTCTGATGCTGCTTGACCTGCTGTGTTCATCCAGCTCTACACCTTGTTATCTCAGATTCTCCAGCATTGGCAGTTCCTACTATCTCTGTAACAATGTTAAGGTGAATTCCCGTTATGTGAGCAGCAACGTTTTCATCCTGTATCAATCTGCCATTTCAACTACATTCGAGACACAATATCAAACGAGATGGTAGCTGCCCTGTGATCATGCTACCTACTGCACACATCACTAATGTCTTTCCACTGCCACCCAACCATTCATGGATGGTGCTCTTACAATGAGAGCCATGTTACAACTTGTAACATCATTGCCAGGAGGCCTCCCTCAACCATTTAAATTCCACTTGTGGGATTTGTGGGAGTCTGGCTGGAAAATCCCAGATGGCCTGTTTAATTAGTCTTAAGTCACCTTTAGCAAACCCGATCAATTACTTGCCACATGGCATTTAACCATATCTCCTTGAGACTCTTCACACAAATGGCCCAGGGGCAGGTTAGAAGTAGAGAACTAGGTGTCAACTGGTGGTGTAGAATTCTGTGGCAACCCCTTCCTTTCAGCCGTAATGCTTCTGTTGAGCTTCAGTGGAAATAAAGCAACAGAATGGAAGTTCCAAGGGTACTCTGGCATGGTTAAAGGGGAAAAAAAGGAATGGAAATAGGTGTACAGAATGATCATGTGGCATTAAAACTATTGACTCTGAAACTATAGACAGAGCTTAAATACAGATTAAGCAGACCAAATGTCCTGTTCCTATGCTATAACTTTGAGCTCATTCTATATGAAATATGAATCTTTGTTTATCTCACAAAATTGCTCAAAGTACAATAAGGACAATGGAACTAGGTTTGTGCATGAAACAGTCATGCCATCAGTAACATGTTATAATTGGAATAATGGTAATGCAAACATTATGACAGAAGCAAATAGTATGATTTGAATTCTGTGTATTGGATCCTATGCCTTAGGTGTTTTTTTGTGCAGGTTATTCCTGGGTTCAGTTGATATTGTCATTTAACTATTTCTGCCACTCACACTTCACTGTGCATTTGCAAGGCTTGCTGAATGTAATGATCTCCCAGGCCAGTTCAATTGTAGGTTGCTGATCTTTGTGATATCAGAAGGAGTATTTATACAGAAAAAGCACGCTATCTTGCTCAAAGCTATGTTTCTACTCCTGAATTTGTGCACAATCTGAACCAGATTGTAAGACCCCTGTTCTATTCATACATTTGAACACAGCCACATGCTGACCTAACTTGACTGAGAGCAAGTGTCAGAATTTCTTTCTTTTCTTTGTAGAACCGCAATTCACGACCAGTTTCCCTGGCTTTCTCTAGATCCTTAAGAGACAATTGGAGCTCCTGAGTTATAATTCCTGATATCTTCTTCTCCTTCAAAATCCAGTCTAATGCCATCTGACTTCTCAAACAGTCATCCAAAGATTGTTTGGAATAATAGGAAATTACATCCTGTGGAAATGAAAAGAGGAACAAAAACAACTAGTGCAATTATTGTATAATATGGGCATCATCATATTGGTACAAAAATCAGTTTGGAATGTTTTGATATTTGGTGGCTTATATTAACCAATTCTGACATAAAATAAGATAAAATGTTTCACAGTACATAGCATTTATTGTTCTAACACTTTTCAGTTTTTGCAGTTCTTACTGCCATCTATTGAGCGTGTTTTTGATAAACCAATATATCATGTTTGGATAGTGACTGTGCTGCTGGACCACACTGTATTTGCTGTGGACTATGTTAGCTATACAGAGATGTGACAACACATCTACAAACTTTCCTGGATGTAGCGGTATGATGAAAGATATGCATTTTTAATGGGATTTGGGTATTGGTGGCTGGGTCATCGTTTATTACTCATTCCTAATTTCCTTCAAGAATGTGATGGTCAATTGCCTTCTTGAACAACTGCAGCCCATATGCGGTAGGTATATCTACAGTGCTGTCAGGGAGTGAGTTCCAGAAATTTGATAAAATTACATTGAAGGAACTGTGAAATAGTTCCAATTAAGGATGGTGTGCTGAATGGAAGTGAACTTGCAGATGGTTGTTTTTGTACATATCTGCTGTGCTTGTCCTGATATGTGGTAAAAGATGTGAATTTGGAAGGTGCTGCCGAAGTAAGTTCTTTTTATTCATTTGTGACAAGAGGGCGTCACTGGCCAGGCCAGCATTTATTGCCCATCCCTAATTGCCCAAAGAGGAGTTTTAAAAGTCAACCAGATTTCTGTGGGTCTAGAGTCACATGTAGGTAGGGATGGCAGTTTCATTCCCTAAAGGACATGAGTGAACCAGATGGGTTTTTCCAACAATCAACAATGGACTCATGGCCATTGTTAGACTCTTAATTCCAGATTTCATTTTTATCGATTTCAAATTCCAGCATCTGGTG